GAGTGGGACCATCCTCACTCTGTTAGTAGAGTGCTGGTGATAGATTTTATACATGCACTGTCAGGAATGTCAGATACGATGACACTTGGTATATAGTGAAGTCTTTTTACTACTTCTCAGGGAATATGGTCAGTTACCACATTAGCTTTATATGACTTCGAGATCAAGATTTTCTAGAACGATGATCCAGTATTTATATGGCAGTAAATCGTGAGTGGTTTGGTTAAGTTAACTGGTGTGGTATATTTTTATGAAGAAAACACAATAGCTGAAATATAAACATTTAGTGTTGTACTTAGTTCTGACAGTAATTATTTTATTGTGCTCCTCTTGTTTATCTGTACAAAAGACTATCTCTCGCGCACCAAGCGTGCTATTCCCCCCTCGGTTCCCCCGCGCGTCTCCTGCCTGGACGTTAGCCGCTAGTGTACCTTAGTCTCGTGATGATTTCGATATCACGGGGCTAATAATAAATATACTTCTTCATCTAAAATCGTCTTTTCTCTGATTTCTAGATTAACGGGATTAACATTTGTTAGCCCCCGAATTTGGTACTACAACATTCACCATGACTATTCTCAGAATTATCTAATATCCAACATCTTCTGCACGAGCTTGTGTAAGCCAGTTGATTTCTTTGCGCTCGATTCCTGTTCTTTCGGTACGGTTACAGGTGTTCATTAATGTCCAATGGATGGAGGTTGTAGAATTTATTTCGCCGGCGGCTGTCCTAATCGCGTCCAATAGAAACACACCGGTACGATACTCCTAGATCCAGGTCCCAGCCAAATCAGAAGGCCAAAAATTCTAGGAGAAAACGTCTCTATATTGTTATAAAATGGAAATACAGAGGCTTACGGTGTTTTTGTTTCTTCCAGGACTAAATTACTCCGTAGAGTATCTATTACAATAGCTAGTAAGTGACACTAAGTCCAGCAGCCACCGCGTCTATCCAAAAATGTGGCGGTAGCCATATTATATCAAATTTAAACAATATATGTACAGTTCCAAGGCAAACACAAAAACTTCAATATAAGTACAAAATATGGAAGGAATAACAACATACAATGGTAAAATCTCAAATTGGAATCAAATAAAATACCAAAAATGTCAAGAGAAAAAGTCCATCAGGTCATAGCAAAATATGTAAACATGGAGGGATTTTCCCAAAAACAAAACATTCAAAAAGAATTCTACAGAGGTCTAGCCACTTGATTGTCTAATTCTAGTCAGTTGGCAGTTGATTGTGAGTTTGTATGTCTCGGGATTTGAATGAAAACGTTTGCCTAGGGGCAGTAGGGTTTCTGGATACCAGCAGCCGTCACATTACCGGACCGGAGATCAGTCAGTTGCAATGTGGAGAGTAATAAGGATAATAAGGATAAAATTCTAATGCTGATATGAATAAAATTTCAGAACTGAGTAATATATACATGAATTTAGTTTGTCAATTGTGAGAGAGGACCGTAGTGTAAGCAAGGGGGAACAGAGATGGGAGGCGAGATAGATTAAGTAAGTGGTTTGAGGAGATGGCAATGATAACAACTAGCAGGTCTCAAGATATTCACCATGAACAGCTTGTCGCACAGGGAGATGTTAGTCCGTATGTGAGTACGTAATCATGAAGTCTCTTCTTAAAGCAGTCTACTGAAGGGACTGTGGTCACCTCGGAAGGGAGAGCAATCCAAGTTGCGACGACTCACAATGAAAAAGTGTGCACGAATCTGAGTATTTGCTATTTGATGTGCAGTCTTTCGAGGATTGCCTCGAGGGGAGTGGTGGTGACGCAGCTGTAGGATGCTGGAGTTTGCCTCACAACCGTTAAGATTGATGGTGTTGCGTACAGATTTTCTGTAAGTTGATAGTCGGGGCTCAGACTGTGTATACTCAGCTGAACTGATTATTATATCTTTGGGCAGACACTCAAGATATATCAGTTGATTTTCTATTGCATGCAGACTTATAGTCTGTGAGTTGCTGTAAAGTGTATCGTTTTGCCGGGTCGCTAAGTGCTTAACACCAGCAACACTCTCGAGTATTGCTGGCAAGCATCTGTTTCGGATGGATTCAAAGAAGCAGTAGATGGAGTTGAGTCACTTAGTTTGTTGTTGTTTGCAATAGTATCTATGAGTGAGACACAAGTTAATGACAGTTCGTGCCCAATTTCATGGTAAACATCTAGTGTTCCTGTTTGAAGGTCAGAGTAGGATGAGGATTGATCACTGTTCTTACGTAGTGTCATGTTACCTGCTTTAGTGGCCTACTTACTTACTTATGCCTGTTACCCTCAATGGAGCATAGGCCGCCGACCAGTATTCTCCAACCTACTCTGTCCTGAGCCACCCTTTCCAGTCCTGTTGAATTTCGTTCATTCTTCTCATATCTTCCTCTAATTTTCGGCATAATGTGTTTCTTGGCCTTCCCCTTGTCCTTTGACTCTGAGGATTTCAGGCGAGGGCTTGTCTTGTGACTCAGCTGGGTGACCTCCTCAATGCATATGCTACCCACCTCCAGCTCTTTTGCCTAATTTCTTCTGCTCTGTTCTCTTCCACAATAGGATGTCGCTGATGGTGCCTCACCAACGGACCCGAAGTACTTTACATAGACAACTGCTAACAAATACTTGTATCTTGTCGATGTTGGCCTTCGTAGTTCTCCAAGTTTCACCTCCATGCAACAGAACTGTCTTCATGTTTAAAATAAAAATTGCGACTTTGGTGTTTGTTGATAACTGTTTCGAGTTGCAGATGTTTTTAAATGTAGAAATGCAGCCCTTGCATCTTCGACCCGCTCTTTCACATCTGAATAAGATCTACTGAGCTCATCAGTGATGCTGACTAGACATGTAATGGTTTATACATTTTCCAAAGCTTCAACGTCAAGTGTGATTGGGTTGGTGCATGTTGTGTTATATCGAAGAATCTTGCTTTTCCCCTTACATATATTGAAACCAGTTTCTGTTAGGGCTGCTGGTACACTGGCCATCTTCTATTGCATTTGTTGTTGCATGTGTGATAGAAGAGGCAGATCATCTGCGAAGTCCAGGCCTCCAAGCTTCATTCTGGCTGACAACTGTATACCGTACCCCCTTCCAGATGTTGAAGTATTCATAATCCAAACGATCACCAGGTGAAAGAGAAGGGGTGAGAGTTAGCAACCTTGCCTGACACCGGTCTTCAACTCGAATATATCTGTTAGCTGTCCATTTTAAACGATTTTGCAGTTTAATTAGTCATAAGAATTCCGTATGACGTTGACTATCTTCTCAAGCACGCCGTATAATCGAAGAAGCGTACATAGTGTTGTCCTATCTGCGCTATCGAATGCTTTCTCATAGTCAATGAAGTTGATGTAGATTGGTGAGTCACATCCAATGAATTGTTTCATAACGATCCTTAATATTGCGATTTGGTGGGTACACGATCGATCCTTACGAAATCCAGCATGTTGATCCCAAAGTTAGACATCTACAGAATCCTTCATTCTGTTTATCAACGCTCTGTTGAAGAATTTTCATCATATTGAGCGAAGGGTGATGGTTCTGTTGTTCTAACGCTTGCTGAGATCTCCTTTCTTTGGCATTTTTGTGAGATGTCCTTCTTCACAGTCTGATGGTACTTTTTATTCATCCCATATCTTGTTGAAGAGAATGTGAAATATTTTTGAGGTTTCTTCCACGTCTACTTTGATTGCCTCCACTGGCGGTGAGAGCCTTAGTGGAGGATTTCGATATTTCACAGGTGTTACAGGCATCAGGTGAAGTGAAGTATATTTTATATAGGCATGAAATTGTTTAAGAATCAACTGTGAGTATAACCCGAACTATATAAACGACGTCTGTTCAAACTCAACTTGTTAGAAGTGAATTATCCGGTGGTACTAGTGATTACAATATTTTCAAGGCACTAAGGGTGTAAAGTTAAAAGCTATGGTTAAAATAATCTGATTGAAGAAAGCGGTGTCTTGATATAAAGATTTTATTTATGTATACTGCTGACTTCAAATTAGAAGACTGAGGACAGAAAAATGATAAATCACGTGAAAAAAGTTTCAACCTTAAGAGTCCGTGTCTAATATGGTGCAGTCACTTCAGCATTGCTTTTAACCCTTGTAAAACACACGCTAGATTCGATTTGGACTTCATAATGTCGCCATACCTCCTGACTGTAAATGAGTACTTAATCTCTTAGACCGAATGTATAGAAGAGCAACTAAACAGGTGACAGGGTTAGGGAGTAGATCCTACGAAATCAGACTTCAGCGCTTGGGGTTATTTTCGCTGGGCCATTAGTGAATATACGGTGGTCATCACGTGTTCATTCTTGGAACGCTCTCTTAACCGCAGTGACTAAATCCCTCCTAATGTAGTTTTAGGAGAAGACTTGACAAGCAAGTACTCAATACTGGGTTCTTCCCTTCGGCCTGAACCAGCTGTGCCTGATGCATGTCATGTAACGCGTCTGCAATCATGATTATCACATATCAGTAACTTATTTCTTTCTTACTATCACCTCCGTTACATTATGGTCTTCTTGCACTGTTTTCATTACAAATAAATTAACATCCCTATTTTCTTTTTTAAGCGATCGCCTTATCGTAGCCTAAGAATTTTTTGTGATTACTTTCCCCATTGGAAGGGATTGACCTCTTGGCTGGTAATGTGAAAGCTGCTGCAATTCATAAACACTACTGCTCTGAGACAAACGCACTCACTCAAATTACTAGACGTACATCTCCATAACCAAATGTTCAACTGACTGCAGTTGGTGAAATAGAGTGGCTGAACTATAGCCTGCTGAACATTATCAAGAATTTGAAGCCTAACCTAAGGAACAAGTAGTGAGAAAGAAGTCAATCGGTTTATATCAGCTTGTGATAAAAATATTGGGTATTGGATATGCCAGAATCTGCGAGCAAACTGATCACTAAAAATCGTATACACAGCCTCACTTCAGAAAAATAAATATGTCTGTCAGTTCACGAGCGACAGTCATGGTGGTATTGACTTGGTTCATTGACCTTGAGAGTTTGCCGCGTAGTAGAGTGTGTTCGAGTTTCTCAGGATGTTTGGCGTTCCTGTTAGTTTGCTTTGGAATATAGGTTTTTTTTATCTCACTTGTTCCCCATTTTCATCTATTTTTTTTAAATACTTTAATTGGTATTTATGGCTCATCTGATCAGTAGTTAGTTTATGTTATTCTAATGATTATACTATCCGTCAATTAGATTATTGAGTTGAAGTAAACAAACCACCGAAGTCGTGACTTATCTACAAATCAGGAAATTCTGCTTGACTTCGAAACCATTCACAGAGTAGAGAAATAAACCAGCAGTGAGATAATGGCTCTAGTCTGAATAATTGATTCTCACATGTCGAATTACTCTTTGTGGTAACAGAACAGTGTTAAGCTTACATGTTAAGAGTCCGGCCAGTGTTAATACTTAAGCTTATAAGTCATCACTCCACAGTTCATCAGCTGACATTAGCTACATTGTCCAAAGGCTAAAGCTAGATATTTAGAGTTAATCAGTTGTCCTGACTTGGTTGTGTAAAGTATGCTTAGAACTTTTATCACGATTAGTATGTGGAGGGATCATATCAGTCATCCACAAGTATTTTAGACTCCTTAACACAGCTCAGATAGAAAATTAACCTCTAATGAGACAAATAAAGGATTCTGAGGGTATTTTCGTAATCATCGACCACAGTGGGATCAGTGTTTGTAATTAACGTATTTGTATCCGGAGAAGTGCTGCGGTGGCCGGGAAATCAGCTATATCAACTTTTATGAGACATTTTTAACTACGAATCCAAGATTGACGAGTAAGTATACTAAATGACATAGTTTTCAGTACATTTTGATCTTTTCTCTTAAGTCATGTGAGTCACTGATCTTTTTTTGATAAAACGTGATATGTACATGATAATAAAATTTTTTTATACTGGTGTAAATTATAGGTTCGACGTCTTAGTACCTCTACTTCGAAGCTAACACTTGTACAGGTACGTTCTAAGCATGTTACATGTTTGGTATTTGAAAGCGTAGTTTTTGCTTATGTAATTATGTATTACATATCTCAGTTGGGCATAGATTTTTGTATATATGTAGTCATATTCGCGATAGAATTTGAGTACCGAAACAAAATATTCAATTCTTAACCATTTTCGCACTAAAATATCAAAAAACACTTCCAAAGTCCGTTTAGAAATGAGTCTGATCTGTTTTAGAGAAGTTTCAACAGTCCATCGATCTAAAAATCTGAAATACGGCGATGAGCATTTCGATAAGTTCTTTCGTAGTGTGTTTCGAATGATGATTATAATATTTCTGTTTAAATTTTCAAAAAAAAATAGTAGGACGCCTTTCTTAGAATTCCTATCTCTGATAATTGTACTGCACATACTTTGTATTATTGAGTTTATAGACCCGTCTTCTGACTTCTTTACTATCGAATGATGTTAACAATATATATATATATATATATATATATATATATATATATATATATATATATATATATATAACTTTCTCTTAACATTGTAAAAATTCGCATTAGTGAATTACAAAATAAAATGAGTCCGGTACAAGAATGGTTCCAACATACTTCTTACACCCGCTGAGGCAAACAGACTAACAGAAAAGCAGCTGATCGGATGAGGCCAACGTATCAGCTCAGTTTCTGGAGGCTTAATTTTAAATGTGTGTAGGAGAATAGCAAGGGATATTCCAACTTTACTCTCGCTGTTGGCGATCGCAATGAATTTCTGTTGCTTAGCATGACATATCTAAACTTCTGAGCCAACTGAAACCTCATGAACCGTACAATTCCTTGCTAGCACTTTCATGCGATTTATTTCAGGATGTCTTGCATGCAATTCTGCAAGCACTGCTGGTTGTAGCTTCTCTGGGACTTCGAAGAGTTCGCTAAATAGCAGGCAATCGTTAATAATCGAGAGAACTAGTTTGCTCTGGTAAAAATGCTGAAGTTCTCTGACGCTGGTCTTTGAGGGCCACCCTTCCAGGTGGAACTTTTTAACTTCTTGCAAAACTGGATTTCGAAGAGTTCCTTCCTTTGTATAGTATTCGAAAGATACTAAGCAATAAGATCACTGGATCATATAAGCTATATCATAACATATGGAATTTGGCAGTCATCGTGAAGCTGTACCCTTAATCTTTAGTGAATGTGTATTCTGTAGTGCACTTATTCTTGTGTCACCCAGCTTCACAGTCAGGGACTGCAGTATTGAGCTATCCAGATTGCTACTGACCTCTTGCATGACTGAAATCTAATTATTGTTGATTGACCACCTATGAATGGTCAGTTTCAACCATTTGAAATCCCTACTGCTGATGAAATTCTGTCGAACAGAGATTAAATCCTTCCGGAAGCATCAGTCCACTAAAGATTACAAGTACATTTCATTAATAATTGGGTAACATCACAAAGCCTACATCCACAATATCCTACTGACTACCTCCAGTCAGTCAGTCAGATGCAACGTAGAACTTTGTACATAAGTACATCAGTTCATGTTGCCATACCACATCAGCACAGAGAAGTAATCGTCAATTCAAATCCAATAGTAGAAGAGGTAGTAAGGGAATTAGAAGTAATCGGAGAGGTTAGGATTAGAAGATACTATTCAAGAAGTATGATTCAGTGAGAAAAGTTTAGAGAGTCGAAACTAGAGGGCTTGAAGAATCCAGAAGATTAGGATTTGAGAGAACACAAAGAATAAATGCACCGACGCCATTGCGAACGATTTTGAGCCATGTCATTCAAGGTCTCTAACCATCGATTATTATCATCTTGCGGACCCCAACCAGGTAGTCGACAATTACCGACATGGCTCAGTCCACTAGTCAATGACTTCATGGATTTCTGCCATGTTTTGGTTTGGCCGCCAAAAGGCGGTTATCTGAGCATAGTTGCAACAGACGGTCACCATTGTCTGTTCTCCCAGTCGCTACACCATAACATCCACCAAGATGTCTTTCCTTTTCACCTAGTCTACCTACTTGAGCATTAAAGTCACCAGCCATTATTACTATATCAGAGCGCCTAGCTTTTTGGAGGAGGTCCGAAAGCTTTCTGTAAAACTCATCTTTCACATCGTCTGCACTTCAGTCAGTGGGGGCATAGGCAGATATGACGAAGAGGCAACGGCGAGTGTCCCTATCCTTCTGAGTCCTTACTGTCCCGTTTAGTCGGACAGCGCACAAGTGACTATCTACTGGGATCCAGTCAAGGAGAGATAATTCTGCCCTAGGACTCAATGCTGTGCCTACGCCAGCAAGACCCCTGGAAGCAGCATCAGGGCTACCGGATACACGAAGAGTGAATCGGGCTGCTTCTTCGTTTTGACAAGGTGAAATCAGGTTTATGACTTTACTAGGATCCTGTATGCGCGTTTCCGAGACGCAGCATACATCGATGGCACGAGATTCTAAAGTCCTAGCTAATGATGCCTGTTGCCCTATTTGACACAATGTCCGTACATTAAAAGCTCCAACATGTAGTCTAGAACGGGGTTTCAAGAGACCAGGGACGACGTTTCGTGATCTCGCTTCGTCTGCATTAGCGGTGCAGTGAGAAAAGGGAGTGTGAGTAGAGTTGGTCGTAGAGATAAGAGAGACATTAGGGGGTGTAGAAAGGATTTGATTTTGACCAATTTGGTCTCGCGTGCTGTTACGGGTATGTGGGCGGTTGTCACTTCCCGGCTGCCCACACCGTGGAAGGTTGTTTCTTGAGGGACCTGAAAAGGAAGATGGATTAGTGTTGGTGCGTGACCTCAGAGCCCAAGGGACAACTGCTTGAGGCCGGTTACGCACGGCCTTTTTATGAAAAGTATTTAGAGGATTAGCTCCGTTCTTAAAGGCCCTTAGTGGGCACCCTTAACCAAGGAGACGGAAATCCGTGAGTTAGGGGAGGTGTGACATTTTTAGGGCCGACCTTTTCTAACCCTTCCTTCCTTGTGAGAAGGCAGCATCGCTGCAGATGCTGGTTGTCCGGGGGAAACACCTTACTGCTGTCACACCCCTCTGCATTCAGCAGTACGACTTCGCCCTCAGACCTTGCTTGGGTAGCTGCTTTTAGTCTCATCGTTCTCCAATCGACCAGCCTGGCATGCTAGGACCTGCAGGAACATATGTTCCAGCCAGTATAGCTCGGTTGGGTGATCACGATAGGCAAGCCCGACCACCACGTCGAGGTAGCAGCTTCGGTCGGGTGACTACCTCCAACCACCCTTGTTTACATTCCAACACAGTGCATACAATTTCAAGTAACTTAAACTGGTTGTAGACATAGCAATTGGATCTGTGAAATTCAACCAACACTCCATAAGAACTTGACATACATAAAATTGATCATTTCTCAATATTCAACATCGCGTTTCTTTCATGTTCTTTCATTTATTAATCGCCCTTTTTTTTTAAAAAAAATCACAATAATTAGCCACCTATTCAAGTATTCGGTGTAGAAGGACGTTATGCTACTGCTTTATATTCAGCTGCTACAAAACAAAAATCTTTAGATAAAATTGATAAAGATTTACAATTAATTAAAACAACATTTGAAAAAGACACGAAATTACGTGAATTCTGTCGTAATCCAAGTTTACAAAGAATTATGAAAGTGAATGGAATTAGTCAAGTTTTGGATAAATTAAAAGTGAATGAAGCAACAAAAAATACATTTGGTAATTAAAACAAAGTTTTCTCTTTGTTTTTTGTTTTTGTAAAAATACATTAAAATAATTGAATTTTTATCAAGAATAATTGTGAAAAATGTTTTTGTTTCGATCCGAACAATTTATTTTTCTTTAATTAGACTTTTTAGTCAGTTAGTCAATCAACTATAAGGTAGAAACTTCATACGTATGTACATCAGTTCAAGTTGTCATTAGTCAGTCAGTCAGTTGCAACGTAGAACTACGTACGTATGTACATAAGTTCATGTTGCCATACTGCATTAGCACAGACAAGCAAATGTCAATTACAATCCCATGGTGATAGAGATAGTAGAGGTATTAATGGTAATGAAGAGGAACTAGGGTTTGAAGATATTATTCAAGAAGTATAATTCAGTGAGATAAGGTTAGAAAGACAAAGGTAGAGGTGCTGACGTATCCAGGAGATTAGGATTTGAGAGAGCACAACAAATGAATGCACTTGCGCCATTGCAAACGATTTTGAGCCATGTCATTCAAGGTCTCTAATCATCGGTGACTATCGTCTCGCGGACCCCAACCAGATAGTCTACATCTACCAACATGATTCAGTTCACTAGTCAGTGACTTCATGTATTTCTGCCATGTTTTGGTCTGACCGCCCCTAACTTTCTTCCAACCAACTCCTACACCACAAAACAAGGCTCGTCGATGCAGTCGGTGGTTCGGCATACGCAAGACATGTCCCAACCACCTCAACTGATGAAGTTTCACCACTTCATCTATTGATCTGCCATCCTTACCTAGCACTCGTTTCCTAACGACAGCATTGCTTACTCGGTTGTCCCACGATAGACGAGCAATGCTTCTTAAACATCTATGATCGAATACCAGTAACCTACGAACATCTTCTACTCTTGACGGCCATGTTTCACATCCATCTAGGAGAACGGAGCGAACTGCTGTGCAGTACACCCGTCCTTTGGTTAGCAAACGGATATCTCGCCTACGCAATAAGTAACGCAGGTTGGCAAAAGCCAATCGAGCTTTCTGTATCCGCGTTGAGATTTCATCAGTCACCAGGCTATCAGCGCTGATGAGAGATCAAACTATTCTTTTTGTTTTGTTTTTGTAAAAATACATTAAAATAATTGAATTTTTTATCAAGAATAATTGTGAAAAATGTTTTTTTGTTTTTTCGAGCCGAACAATTTATTTTTCTTCAATTAGACTTTTTAGTCAGTTAGTCAATCAGCTAGCTATAAGGTAGAACTTCATACGTACGCACGTACATTAGTTCAAGTTGTCATAACATATTAGCACAAAGAGATGCAATTGTGGTAGAGAGATAGTAGAAATATGAGCAATAGTCAGAAAGATTAGGGTTTGAATATATTATTCAAGGAGTATAATCCAACGGAGTAAATTTAAAAAGAGAGAGAGTCAGAGGTGATGTGGAATGGTGATTAACATTTGAGAGAAAAAAAAACAGTGGATGAATCTGTGTGATTGCAAACGATTTTAAGCCATGTCGTTCAACGTTTCTAAACATCGGTTACTATCATCTTGCGGACCCCAACCAGATAGTCTACATCTACCAACATGACTCAGTCTACTTGTTAATGACTTCATGGATTTGTGCCATGTTTTGGACTGGCCACCCATAGCTTTCTTCAATGAGACTTTCTAGGTATTTGACTTGGCAATGTATCGTTCACAAAATAATTGTGTAACATTAATGTACATATTTTCATGATAGCAATTTTGCGTGTGTTAACTAGGTTTGTAAATTATTGGTTCCTTCAGGAACGTAGATCTCATATTGACCATAGGTTCGAAATCAAAGTTTCCTAATCCATTTACATGATCTCTTTGTATCAATGAACTCTATTTCAACACAAACATCAGTGAGCTTCTTGTTTGATAAAAGTATCAGTCCTACTGCTACCACCACCTCTATGTGAAAGCAGTACGTTGAAACGTTCTGGTATAAATATGGAATCATATAGAGGAAATTCAAGTAAAAGCCTTCCCTAATCCTGAAGATACCACCGCAATTTTCAGCAGTTTAATATCTTGGCTGTTATTATTATGGCTATTATCACCAGAACATGGCATAAATAAATCCATGAAGTCACTGACAAGTGGACTGAATCATGTTGGCAGATGTAGGCTACGTGGTTGGGATCCACGAGACAAAAGTCACCGATGGTTAGAGACCTTGAGTGATATGGCTCAAATCGTTTACAATGGCGCAGGTGCAACCACTCTCTGTGTTCTCCCAAATCCTAATTTTCTAGACTTGTCAACACCTCTAGTTTCGTCTTTCTAAACTTATCTCACTGAATTATACTTCTTGAATCATATCTTCGAACCCTAACCTTCTCGATTACTGCTAATACTTCTGCTATCTCTACCACTATGGAATTTGAATTGAAAATTGCGTCTTTGTGTGCTAATGTGGTATGGCAACCTGAACTGATGTACTTAAGTACGAAGCTCCACGTTGTAACTGACTGACCGACTGACTATTATCACTAGAATGGCCCATTCACGTCATCCACATTCTGAGTGTGATTTTTACATGACGAAAAGTTTGGAAACTCGTCAACATGATAAACGAAACATTTCTACAATGATTTTATGTGTGTAGAGAGCATCGGTTCCCTCAAGATTCCAAACACAACTTGTTAACAGTTCAAACCCAGTGTGAACTTTATGCCTAGGGTTTTTTTAGATTAACGGCACTATTGCAGCTTGGTTGATCGAATCTAATCATTTCTAAAGAACTGGACAAACATGATATTGATCAGTGTTCTGTAGTAAATGAACATGCCAGTCAATAGAGTATATTGTTGTTATATTTGTGTTTTTACATAAATAAACGATTTGCCATTTGTTGTCAAGAATCACTTGCTTGCTTATTCTCCAACCAATCCCCCCTACTTCTCTTTTATTTTTTATTTTTTTAACCAGTTGTACTTGCTGAAAATGGTCGTTTATCTAAAATCAGTTCAGTAATTGAAAAATTTGAGCAGATCATGACTGCACATCGTGGTGAAGTTAGCTGTATTGTACGAACAGCCAAACCTTTAGATAAAACATCAGAAAATGATCTACGTAATGCTCTTGGTGGATTTTTAAAACCTGGTGAAAAGTTGAATCTTACTTTAGAAGTAAGTGTTTTATATATGATATTTATTTGAAGGTATAATTTTCAATTGGTTACAATGTTTTGTGGTGTAAGAGTCAGTTGGAAGAAAGTTAGGGGCGGCCAAACCGACCGAAGCTGCTACCTTGACGTGATGGTCGGGCTTGCCTATCGTGATGACCCAACCGAGATATATTGGCTGGAACTTATGTTCCTGAAGGTCCTAGCATGCCAGGCAGGTCGATTGGAGAACGATGAGACTAAAAGCGGCTACCCAAGGTCTGAGGGCGAAGTCGTACTGTTGACTGCAGAGGGGTGTGGCAGCAGTAAGTTGTTTCCCCCAGACAACCAGCATCTGCAGCGATGCTGCCTTCTCACAAGGAAGGTAGAGTTAGAAAAGGTGAAAGATGAGTTTTACAGAAAGCTTTCGGACCTCCTCCAAAAAGTTAAGCGCTCTGATATAGTTATAATGGCTGGTGACTTCAATGCTCAAGTAGGTAGACTAAGTGAAAATGAAAGACACCTAGGTGGATGTTATGGTCTCGCGGCTCAAAGAACAGACAATGGCGACCGTCTGTTGCAACTATGCTCAGAAAACCGCCTATTCTTAGCGAACACCAACTTTAGGCATAAGGAAAAGCATCTGTTGACCTGGCGACCCCCGAAGTCGTCTCAACGTTGGACTCAACTAGATCACATCGCCATCAGCCACTGACGGAGGGGTTCGATAGAAGACTGTCGCTCGTTCTGGGGCACATGTTTAGATTCAGATCATGCCCTAGTGCGAGCGCGTATTTGTTTGAGGCTTACAGGGCGTAGGAAAAACACCGTAATGAAGCCTCTTAGGGCTTTACTTGATGATAATCAAGCTAAGAAAATATTTCAGGAAGAACTAGAAAAACAGTTAGGCGACCATGCAAGTGATTCCCATCCGGAGGCAGCTTAGAATCATATCAAGAAGGCTGTGGAAACAACAGTGATATCTGCTAGCAAGGTAAACCATAAGGCTAGGATGAAGCCGTGGATTTCAGTTGCATCCACCGAACTGATGGATGCTCGAAAACGCATCCCACCTGACTCTGGACATGATGAAGAGCGTAGTCAGCTTAGGCGCAGACTTATAAAAAGCCTACGTAACGACCGTGAACAGTGGTGGGTGGCGAAAGTAAAAGCGATGGAAAAGGCAGCGGCGATAGGCGACAGTAGACAACTTTTCCGCCTTATCAAAGAAACCGGTATTAGGAACCCGAATGTGAGTGAGACTATCTCGGAAAAGGATGGTCTTATTATCCATTCTCAATCTAGGAGGCTGAACCGATGGGCAGAACACTTTAGGGATCAGTTCATTTGGCCTCGAGCCACACTTCGGTCGCCCACTATCTACAGTCATCCTGAATGGCAAATCGATTTAAGTCCTCCCAGTTTACATGAAGTTGAAAAAGCTATAGGAAATCTAAAGCGAAGTAGAGCTGCGGGTCCTGATAGGCTTACCCCTGAGATATTTAAGGATGGTGGTCCAGTTTTAACAGTTAGACTGACTGAGATCCTAGGTAGAATCTGGGAACTGGACGTAATCCCATCTAACTGGTCTCAGTCGCTAATTGTCCCAATGTATAAGAAAGGACAAAAGTCCTCTTGTGACAATCACAGCGGGATAAGTCTAACTAATATAGTTTCTAAATTGTTAGCCTCCATTATACTTAGACGTCTGGTTTTTCGACCTGGACGTGGTTGTATAGACCACATTTTCACACTACGACAGGTCCTGGAACACAGACACACATTTAGACGTCCGACAATAGTCGTGTTCCTGGACCTAAAAGCGGCATTTGACTCAGTGAATCGTGAGGTCCTGTGGCAGTGTCTGTCATTGAAAGGTGTACCAAATAAGTACATTAACCTCATACAAGCTCTCTACTCGAAAACTACTGGTCGGGTAAGAGCATATTGCGAACTGTCATCTGAATTCTCTACATCAAGTGGTGTCCGTCAGGGCTGTCCACTCTCTCCATTCTTGTTTAACTTTGTCGTAGACATCCTCTTAGAGTTAACATTAAGCTCGTCAGACTTTTCAGGGGTTGACCTTCTGCCAGGAAAATTGCTTACTGATCTAGAATATGCCGATGACATTGTCCTACTTGGTGAAGACGCTGACAAAATGCAGAGTCTTCTGACTACCATAAGCAACAATGCAAGCATGTTCGGGATGCGGTTTTCCCCCTCGAAATGCAAAATGTTGCTTCATGACTGGGTTGCATCGGCACCTGAACTAGTGATAGGGAGTGAAGTAGTCGAACGTGTTGATCACTTCACTTATCTGGGGAGTCTCATCAGCGCTGATAGCCTGGTGACTGACGAAATCTCAGCACGGATACAGAAAGCTCGATTGGCTTTTGCCAACCTGCGTCACTTATGTCGTAGGCGTGATATCCGTTCGCTAACCAAAGGACGGGTGTACTGCACAGCAGTTCGCTCCGTTCTCCTATACGGATGCGAAACATGGCCGTTAAGAGTAGAAGATGTTCGTAGGTTACTAGTTTTCGATCATTGATGTCTCCGAAGGATTGCTCGTGTATCATGGGACAACCGAGTGAGCAATGCTGTCGTTAGGAAACGAGTTCTAGGTCAGGATGGCAAATCAATAGATGAAGTATTGAAACTTCATCAGTTGAGGTGGTTGGGACATGTGTTTGGTATGGCTAACCACCGACTGCCTCGACGAGCTATGTTTTGTGGTGTAGGAGTAGATTGGAAGGGGCGGCCAAACATGGTAGAAATCCATGAAGTCACTGACAAGTGGATTGAGTCATATTGGTAAAAATGTAGCTTACCTGGTGGGGGTCCGCGAGATGATAGTAACTCATGGTTAAAAGACCTTGGACCGCATGGTTCAAAATCGCTTATAATGGCGCAGGTGCATCGATTGTTTGTCTTCTCTCAAATTCTAATCTTCCAGATTCCTCCTCACCTTTATCTTTGTCTTTTTAAATTTATTTCACTAGATTCTACTTGTATAATATCATCGAACCGTAATCTCTCCGATTACTGCTAATACTTCTACTACCTCTACTACTATGGGATTTGAAGTGACAGTTGCATCTCTCTGCTAATATGGTACGGCAACCTGAACTGATGTACTTACGTACGAAGTTCTATGTTGTAACTGACCAACTGATTGCCTAACATTATCATGCTCTTTCAAGATAATAAATACTACTGATAAATTTGACTAGTTATTCACAACAATGAAAAATGTTGTCTATTAGAGCGGAACAGAATGAATCTCACTTTTCAGTTCTGAATAATTAGTTACTATCATCATACAGTTTTAGATGTGTTGTTTATAGATTCTCTCACAAATGTAATTTACTTGTATACAAATGAAGGTTGTTGTATAAACTTGATTAGTTTTCCTGACATTCTTTTGTTAGGCAGGTGATCATTGGAATCATAAGAAATATGATAAAGTTGTCTCGTTTTTCTAGTATTAGTAATACAGCGAGTTGGTTTAAGTTCAGATATGTTAATCCTTGAGAATATTACTGACTCAGTGGTCTAAAAGTTAAGCGCGCTTATCATGTGGGACCTAAAGGTGTCTTTAGGTTTAGTCTTTGTGTTGGGCCGGTGGATATGTTAAGATATATTAAGATGAAATAGTTTTTCAGTAGTTTTCAATTAGAGTTATGGAGATCGGTTGCTTTTACACATTGGAATTATTAATCAATCATTGATAGACACTGTTAGGCCGTTTCGTCCTACTATGGGACTCACTAGTGGCATTGCTCATCCACGATTCGTGCTACTCCCAGGAGTCCAACTTATGATCCATCATCCGTCTGTGATGTTAACTAAAAAATTTTCACAATCTTACCCATCTCATAGTGTTGTTACATAGATTATTTTCTATTCTAAGTACAATAGATCAATGTTCATTTGTGTGTATTATGTTTTTACACATTTGAAATCACCAATCAATCATTGTTAGACCACTATTAGAAACATGGAAGTACTGGACGGCCGTTTCGTCCTGGTATGGGACTCATCACATTAACATCGTTGGATGCCGGCCAGCACAGTGGTCCGATGGTTAGGCGTTCACTCACAATACCGAAGGTCCCGGGTTCGAATCTTGTGCGAGGAGCAGCAGTCGTGGATGCGCACTGCCACTGATGAGTAGTCCCATACCAGCACGAAACGGCCGTCCAGTGCTTCCAGAATTCTAATGGTGGTCTAACTCAATGATTGATTAATGATTTCAAATGTGTAAAAACACTAATTTCCAAAACTCTGCCCCAAAATATTATGTTTTTTGTTAAGCACAACACGTTTTTTATTGTCTGTTTTGCATTGTTTGATTTTTAATAATTTCAGACTGATCCATCACTTATTGGTGGTATGGTAGTTAGTATTGGTGATCGTTTTGTTGATATGTCAATTGCTCGAAAAATTCGTTCTCTACGTCAAATTATAGAACAACCAATTTGAAAAATTTTATTATTATTGAGTCAGTTTATGAAAGACCAAGAAAGAAAAAAAGCCACTAGTTATACATACATATACATATGTATTGAATTATTTGACTTGTAGTCTATTATAGTAATTAATAATACTAATTACCTTGGGAAAAAAAGTCTATGTTAATGTCTTTGCTTTTATTATACTACATGTGTTTTCAGTAAGTTATAATGAATGCAGAATATAGCGTATATACCGGACTGGAGCTGCTACATTGACATGGTGGTTAGGCATGCCTACGGTGATCATCCAACCGAGCTATATTGGCTGAAACATATATTCCTTTAGATCCTATCGTGCTGGTGAACGGTAAGACTAAAATCAGCAACTCAACGTCTGAGGGTGAAGTTGTACTGCTGACTGTAGAGAGATGTGACGGCAGTAATGTGTTTCCCTCAGACAATGAGCAACTACCTTCTCACAACCGAAGGTAGGGGTTAGGCATGTGTAACTCTAAAAATATCACACCTCACCTTAACTCACGAATTTCTATCTCGGGTAGTAAGGCCTTTTTAGAAGAGCATAACTAATATTGCCAAGAATTCCATATAATACCGTATATGGCGGTCGGTATTCGATATATTCTTAAACTGCGTATACTACTCGTTCTGACAAACGTTACTAGATAACGGCCAACGGTGTATAAATCAGAAAACGAATAGGAAGCGTTGGTGACGTTTATTATCGCACCACACACAGATCAGAAAACCATAGGCACACGAAGTCAAAATAATATGCGAGTGCCGAAGAGCAAGCGAGCGAGCAACTGAATGACGAGGATTAAAAGGTATATATATACACAGGAAAATAAGTGGGTCATCGAATTACTCGGGCGGCTGACATTAAAGTGATTAGAATGAATATTCACGTAGACGGTAAGCAATGCTCGAGCATAAATGCTCATACAAGCGCAACAATAATAAAAGAACATTGGTACAGATAAGTTGTTGTTAAATAAGTTAATAAAAGGGCTTGACTAAGTGAGACGTAAGCAAATTCAAATTAATGTGACCTGCTATAACTTGTTCCTTTGGCTCAGCGGTCACGCTCCCATTGCGCTAAGACATACGTTAATTTTCTTTTATCAGGTTCATCAAGAAATTCCTACAGTGTTTGCAACCTGGAATTGTCATCCTCTGTCGTACCTGTAACAGCATACAAAACCAAATCTTCCTACACTTCTTAATAACTCTCTCACCTCCAAGACCAACGCTTCTTTCACTCGTTTGCTACCTCGCACCGCTGCTGCAAACGTTTCGACCATCCTTCTCCGCGATTATCTCACTCACATTCGGGTTCCTAATACCGGTTTCTTTGATAAGGCGGAAAAGTTGTCTACTGTCGCCTATCGCCGCTGCCTTTTCCATCGCTTTTACTTTCGCCACCCACCACTATTCGCGGTTGTTACGTAGGCTTTTTATAAGTCTGCGCCTAAGCTGACTACGCTCTTCATCATGTTCAGAGTCAGGTGGGATGCGTTTTCGAGCATCCATCAGTTCGGTGGATGCAACTGAAATCCACGGCTTCATCCTAGCCTTATGGTTTACCTTGCTAGCAGATATCACTGTTGTTTCCACAGCCTTCTTGATATGATTCCAAGCTGCCTGCGGATGGGAATCACTTGCATGGTCGCCTAACTGTTTTTCTAGTTTCTCCCGAAATATTTTCTTAGCTTGATTATCATTAAGTAAAACCCTAAGAGGCTTCCTTACGGTGTCTTTCCTACGTCCAGTAAGCCTCAAACACATACGAAGTTGTACTGCTGACTGTAGAGACATGTGACAGCAGTAAGGTGTTTACCTCAAACAACGAGCATCTTCCTTCTCACAACCGAAGAAAGGAATTAGAAATGGGTAACTCTAAAAATGACGCACCTCACTTTACTCCACGAATTCCCGTCTCGGGCTTTTTGAAGAGTGTAGTTAACACTTCCAGGAATCCCATAAAAGGCTGTGTGTGATCGGCCTAAAGCAGTTTGTGGCGGTCAGTATTCGATATAATTCCTTAAACTTTGTATACTGCTCCTTCTGACAAACGTTACTAGATAACGGCCAACGGTGTATAAATCAGAAAACAAATACAAAGGATTGATGACGTTTATTATTGCACCACACACAGATCAGAAAACCATAGGCACACGAAGTCGAAATGATATGCGAGTGCCGAAGAGCAAGTGAGCGAACAACTCAATTAGGAGTATTAAAATGCACACATACTATATATATAGGAAAATGAATGAGTCATCGAAATATTTAAGAGGCCAACAATAAAGCAAGTAGAATGAATGTGTACGTAGGCGCGGTAAGCAATGCTCATACAAGAGCAACAATAATAAAAGCGCAATGGTACAGATAAGTTGTTTCTTTACGAATCATTCTGTCTGTTAAATAAATTAATAAGAGGTCTTAAGCAAATTAGATGTAAACAAATCCACATGTATGTTAGTTACTGTAAGTTGTTCCTTTGGATCTGCGGTCACGTCCCCATTGCGCTAAGACCAACGTTGATTTTCTTTTATCAGGTTCCTCAAGAAATTCATACAGTGTTTGCAACCTGGAATTGACATCCTCCTTCGTACCTATAACAGCATACAAAACCACACCTCTTAATAACTCTGTCATCTCCAAGACCAACGCTTCTTCCACTCGTTCGCTACCTTGCGCCGCTGATGCAAACGTTTTGAATACATGAAACATAATTCTTGGTCTCGTGAAACCCCACTCTAAATTACATGTTGAATCTTTTATGCCAAATAAGACTAAAAGCTTCGTTAGCTAGTACTTTAGAATCTCTCGCCATCTATGTATTCTGAGCCTCCGAAATGCGCATACAGTATCTGAATATATATATATATGTTTTAATTCAATATACCACACACTATGTCAGGACAACAAGATAAATTTATCTCAACATAAATATTAGATAAACAGTAGTGGTAGAAAGCAATAGGTACAGACAGTATAAATAAATTACAGTAATAAAAATATTCATAAATAATGTAAGACATTAAAACAAATGTGTATACCAACTGTTATGGTCGATTTTGAGCCATTTCATTTAACTTCTCCGAGTGCTATAAACGTTCAGAGTTCAACATGGTAGTTTGCACCTAATAATACAGTTAAATACAATAACAATCAATGATTTCATATGTAGTGAAGGAGAACACAGGTGAGGGCAACCGAATTGTATTTAACGAAAATCACAGAGTTACTCAGTAAAATAGGAAAACCATATCGTAACCACCGTTAATTTGCAAATCTTCAATCCATCATCAATCCATTGTCTGACATTTCACCACTATTCATGCGTTTCATTCAAATTCCATTCTCTTCCCACTCTTCTTACTTTCACTTGATCTTCCCCCATCATCTGCTGCCAGACATTACGTTTACACTCGCGTCATATACTACTTATAAGTAGCGCGCACCACACAAGGATTGATTTAGTCATCTCTAGCTTTATTTCAACTTACTTTTATAATACCGGCCAATCGTTATGCGTTAATATAGGCGCACACGATTCACGTCTAAATTATCTTAATCAATGCACGCGGATTCATTGGTTATAAATCAACAACTGATTTACTATTTTTATTCCATACTATTCATTTAAATAAATTCAACATTGATCATTCAATCTTTCCAACATATACAAACAGTTTAATTTGTAATAGTCCTGTTGTTGATGACTATTTTGACTGAAGCTTGATCAGCTTAAACTCAGTAGCCAAGTGTATGTACATTGGTGTTTGAAATGAAAGATAGTGATTTTGAGTTTGTTACGCATGAATGTAAACATGTGATTTTGATATGCTTGAATTATTGTTACGAGTTTACCTTAGCATCGAGGACCTGGCGACACGACACGCTACTCTAATCCAATTGTCCAACCCCCCCCCCCCCGATTGAGTGAAAGAAGAAGACTTGATATGAATTAGGACCTGTATTCTACACGCATCCAGAAAGTATGAGGTCTGATATCAGAAGAGAATCAGGATCCCGAACTAGGGATCCGGGCCATAGAACGTTACAGATACAATATTTCTAAAACTATTAGTCACTCTCACTAAATTCTATCAGTGAATAATTGAATGAACTCAAGAGTGTGAATTAATTTTCGTGAGATCTTTCTTTATCCAACAAATTTTCTCTACACAACTGATGCACTTTGGACAAAAGTTTGCGAAGGCAGTTGTCTTGCGAATAGCCTATTGAGTAGTTAACAGGTCGAGTTAGAGCTTATGGCGAATTGTCATCGGAATTGATTACTTCAAGTGGTATTCGTCAGGGATGTCCACTTTCTCCATTGTTGTTAAATTTTATCACAGACATGCTACTAGATATAACATTATCTTCGTCTGAATATTCAGGAGTGAACACTCTACCAGGAGATTCATTGGTTGTGACTTAGAATATGCCGATGACAAAGATCTAAATGGTGAAGACAATGACAAAATGGTGTTCTGACAACCATAAGCAACAATGCAAGGATGTTCGGGATGCGATTCTTCTCGTCAAAATGCAAAATGTTGCTTCAGGATTAACTTTATGGCTGTGAAACATGACCAGTCAGAGTAGAAGATATTCGTAGGTTACTGATCTTCGAAGCATTGCTCGTATATCCTGGGACAACCAAGTAAGCAATGCTGCCGTTAGTAAATGGGTCCCAGGTAAAGGTGGCAGGTCAATAGATGAAGTAATGAAACTTGATCAGTTGAGGTGATCGGGACATGTGTTACGAATGCCTAACCACCGACTGCCTCGACGAGCTATGTTTTGCCATGTAGGAATAGGTCGGAAGATAGCTAGTGGTGGCCAAACCAAAACATGGCACAAATCCATAAAGTCACTGACAACTGGACTGAGCAATGTTGGTAGATATAAACCACCAGGTTGGGTCCGCGAGGCAGTAGTGACTAATGGTTAGAGATCTTGAACCTTTGTCTTTCGCTTTTTAAGTTTATTTCACTAGATTCAACTTCTTGAATAATATCGTCAAACCCTAATCTCTCCGATTACTGCTAGTATTTCTACCACCTCTACTACTATGGGATTTGGAATGTATGGTAACTTGAACGTTGATGTACGTAAGAACAAAGTTCTGCGTTGTAGTTGACTGACTAACTAACTAACTGAGAGCTGTCCAGTAAACAAACAAAAAATACCCAACTGCCTTTTTGTACCCTGACAGTTAGGACGTAGCTGGACGATGTGGACTTCACAGATGACCTGGCTCTTCTATCGCACACGCAACAACAAATGCAAGAGAAGATGACCAGTGTAGCAGCAGCCTCTGCAGCAGTAGGTCTCCACATACATAAAGGAAAAAGCAAAATTCTCCGATGCAAAACAACATGCACTAACCAAATCACTCTTGATAGAGATGCCTTGGAGGACATTAACACCTTCACATATCTGGGCAGCATCATCTACAACCAAGGAAGATCCGATGCAGATGTTAGGGCGCGGATTGACAAAGCAAGAGCTGCATTTCTACAGTTGAAAAATATCTGGAACTACAAACAACTTACAACCAAAATCAGGATTTTCAATACAAATGTCAAGACAGTTCTACTGTATGGAATAGAAACTTGGAGAACTACAAAAGCCATCATCCATAAGATACAAGTGTTTATGAACAGTTGTCTACGCAAAATACTTCGGATTCGTTGGCCAGACACGATCAGCAACAACATGATATGAGAGGAATAAACAAACATTGGACAGAACTGGAGAAGGAAGCCCAGGACAGAGTTGGTTGGAGAAAACTGGTGTGCGGTCTATGCTCCATTGGGGGTAACAGGCGTAAGCCTAAGCCTTTTTGTACCCACTACTCCAAGTGTACTACAATCCAACTACTACTGTAGTGAACGAGAACACAGGTGGGGCAACCGAATTGTATTTAACGAAAATTACAGAGTTACTCAGTAAAATCGGAAAATCATATCGTAAATTGTTAATTTGCAAAAGATCAGTTCATCATATCGAACTGGACTGTTCCTGTTGCCAAACATCAATCCATTGTCACTATTCATGCGTTTCATACAAATTCCATTGTGTTCTAACTCTTCCTTTCTTGATCTTCCCCCCATATTATGCTACCAGACTTTACGTTGACACTCACGTTATATACTACTTATAAGTAGTTCGCACCACAGCACCACACTACTACTAGTAGTCATAAACATTTGGAAAGACGTTGTAGTTGAACACAATCAATAATAAATAACTTGATATATAATATATATATGAATAATTTATTTCATAATAATAATAATAATAATAATCAATAATTAGACAATGATACTTCACAAATATTATGTGTTGTCTGTGTGTGTGTTTGCTTGCATGTGTACATGGTAAAATTCTCTTCACAAATAATATACAAAGTAGAAGGATAACATCAAGGAGTAGAAGAAGCAGAAGAAAATAACATTAAAATAAAATAAAAAAAAACATTCTCAATCTTATTTATTATGATAATATACATTATAATACACATATTGAGTACGCAGAGTATGATAAATAATGCAACACAATATGGATAGAAAACTGATGTGTCCCAGCTGAGTATGTCAGTGTGTGTATGTGTGTATGTGTGCGGTGTGTGTCTGTATGCATTACAAGGTTTTATTGGCCGGATTGGATACACACACACACATAAGGTGAAGAAGAGTATGAAATGATTGAATACCATATAATCGATCTACGATGGTTTTAAGTGTGTGTAGAGTATACATATATATATTTACAGTTTGTAAGTAAATTTGGGTTTAAAGTACCAAAAATATAATTATTGATTTATAAAAAACAAAACAGGAAGCAACCCGAGATACGTGTGTGTGTGTGTTGTTTGTGAGTGTGGAAAAAAAGACGGATCATAGATGTCAATAGAAAAATGGGCGAATTTTTCTGGTTACAATTATCTTTTTTTTAAAAAAAAATCAAATAATATTTTCGAGTCACAAAAAAAAGAACTGGCAGTAAAAATGTACATCAAATTAACAAACTACTGATTACCGATATCAGTAGTAGTGGAGTGGAGTGGTGGTATAATACACAATGCATGAAGGCGTGAAGCGCCGCTGCCAACGGGCAATCATATACATACATACATACATACATAGAGGTTATAAAAACAAAAACATAAACAACACAAAATGAAATCGATACATAAATACAATTTGAATTGCTGCGGTATGTCACTGTTACATCATTCTCCTTCTACGTTTCATAGATTGGCTTCTTTGAATTGTTTCATTTTCTGCACAAATAACGCTTCAACAATTTCGGTACAATTAAATTCTGGTGTATCTTTTGGATAGATTAAACGTGAATTAGTGAATAGACGATTCATGTCGAATGAAAAATCGCCTAAAGTTTTGTAAACTTCTGTTTTTAAATTTATTATCACTGAAGGAAGATCTAAATGTTTTTTTAAAAATACAAAAAAGTTGAACATTAAATATGATTTTAAGGAAAAAAATGTTTGGGAACTAGAATCAAACTAGATTAGATTAAAAAATTTCTAACCATAAAAGCAGATATATATGTGTTACTGTTAGGATATTCATCCAATATCCTAAGAGAATTACTGGTCAAATCCTATTGGCCGATTTCTATTGGTCAAAATTACGGTCGTTTTATCTGTCAAAGTCAAATACTTCAATGTTGTCTCTTATTGGTCATCCGGACTGTCAATGTCATTTCAAATGTTCTTTCTTATTGGTTGGCCTGACTATCGATGTCACTTCAAATGTTACTTCCTATTGGTCGTCTTAACTATCAATGTCACAGAATTCGATGCTGTTTCCTATTCGACCAAAATGTATAAATACGCATTATCTGTAACGTTTTATGAGCAGGACCGGGACCCGGATCCCTAGTCCAGGATCCTGATTCTCTTCTGGAATCGGACCTCGTATTTTCTGGATGCTTGTAGAATACAGGTTCTACTTCACATTCAAGTCTTCTTATTTTTTACTAAATATGGGGGTTGGGATAATCGGATTAGAGTAGCATGTCATGTCGCCGGATCCTCGCTCTCGTAATAGTTCAAGTATATCAGGTTGACGTGTTTACGTGCAGGCGTAACAGTTACCTAACGAGTACTTCAGCCAAGTGATGTATACACACACACATACATACATGCACACGCACACTGGTGTCGGTGATTATTGGGGCAGAGGTGATGACAGCTGAAACACATCCTATAGAGTATACATTATTGTAAGCTACAAATGACTTTCAGGCGAACAGCCGCTTGACACTATTTACTTTGTTTATACATGGTGCTGAAAAATCCATATTTTTTCATACGGAAAACTTGTTCAATATTTAGAGGACATAATTAATCGCAATTTCAAAGTGATTTCTTATTGATTTTAATTTAAAAATGGCTTCTGCCATTCATTTGATATTTTATTCCTGGAGAAATGATGAAAAACTAAACTGTAGATTAGATGACAATTTCTATCAGTCAGTCAGTCAGTCAGTCAGTTGCAACGTAGAACTTCGTACGTATGTACATCAGTTCATGTTGCCATACCACATTATTAGCACAGAGACGCAAATGTCAAATCAAATCCCATAGTGATAAAGATAGTAGAGGTATTAATGTTAATAAAGAAGACTAGGGTTTAAGATATTATTCAAAAAATATAATTCAGTGAGATAAGGTTAGAAAGACAAACGTTGAGGTGCTGGCTAGTCCAGAAGATTAGGATTTGAGAGAGCTCAAAGAGTGGATGCACCTGCGCCATTGCAAACGATTTTGAGCCATGTCGTTCAAGGTCTCTAACCATTGATGACTCTCGTCTCGCGGACCCCAACCAGGTAGTCTACATCTACCAACATGACTCAGTCCACTTGTCAGTGACTTCATGGATTTCTGCCATGTTTTGGTCTGGCCGCCCCTAGCTTTCTTCCAACCTATTCCTACACCACAAAACATAGCTCGTCGAGGCAGTCGGTGGTTAGGCATACGTAACACATGTCCCAACCACCTCAACTGATGAAGTTTCACCACTTCATCGATTGATCTGCCATCCTTACCTAGTACTCGTTTCCTAACAACAGCATTGCTTACTCGGCTGTCCCACGATATACGAGCAATGCTTCTTAAACATCTATGATCGAATACTAGTAACCTACGAACATCTTCTACTCTTAACGGCCATGTTTCACAGCCATATAAGAGAACGGAACGAACTGCTGCGCAGTACACCCGCCCTTTGGTTAGCGAACGGATATCACGCCTACGCCATAAGTGACGTAGGTTGGCAAAAGCCAATCGAGCTCTCTGTATCCGAGCTGAGATTTCGTCAGTCACCAGACCGTCAGCACTGATGAGACTCCCCAGATAAGTGAAGTGATCTACACGCTCGACTACTTCACTTCCTATCACTAGTTCAGGTGCCGAAGCAACCCAGTCTTGAAGCAACATTTTGCATTTCGAGGGGGAAAACCGCATCCCGAACATACTTGCATTGTTGCTTATGGTAGTCAGGAGACTCTGCATTTTGTCAGCGTCTTCACCGAATAGAACTATGTCATCGGCATATTCTAGATCAGTAAGCGACTTTCCTGGTAGAAGGTCAACCCCTGAAAAATCTGACGAGCTTAATGTTAACTCTAAGAGGATGTCTACGACAAAGTTGAACAAGAATGGAGAGAGTGGACAGCCCTGACGGACACCACTTGATGTAGAGAATTCAGATGACAGTTCGCCATATGCTCTCACCCGACCAGTGGTGTTCGAGTAGAGTGCTCGTATAAGGTTAATGTACTTCTTTGGTACACCTTTCAATGACAGACACTGCCACAGAACCTCACGATCCACTGAGTCAAATGCCGCCTCAAGGTCCAGGAATACGACTATTGTCGGACGTCTAAATGTGTGTCTGTGTTCCAGGACCTGTCGTAGTGTGAAGATGTGGTCTATACAACCACGTCCAGGTCGAAAACCAGCCTGGTTTTCTCGAGTCTGCTCTTCGCGAGCTCTAGTTAGACGTCTAAGTATAATCGAGGCTAACAATTTAGAAACTATATTAGTTAAACTTATTCCCCTGTGATTGTCACAAGAGGACTTCTGTCCTTTCTTGTAGATTGGGACAATTAGCGACTGAGACCAGTCAGATGGGATTACGTCCATTTCCCAGATTCTACCTAGGATCTCGGTCAGTCTAACCGTTAAAACTGGACCGCCATCCTTAAACATCTCAGGGGTAAGCCTATCGGGACCTGCCGCTCTACCTCTCCTTAGATTTCCTATAGCTTTCTCAACTTCATGTAAACTGGGAGGACTTAAATCGATTTGCCATTCAGGATGACTGGAGATCGTGGGCAACCGAAGAGTGGCTGAAGGCCAGTTGAACTGATCCCTAAAGTGTTCCGCCCATCGGTCCAGCCTCCTAGATTGAGAATGGATAATAAGACCATCCTTTTCCGAGATAGTCTCACTCACATTCGGGTTCCTAATACCGGTTTCTTTGATAAGGCGGAAAAGTTGTCTAGTGTTGCCTATCGCCGCTGCCTTTTCCATCGCTTTTGCTTTCGCCACCCACCACTGTTCACGATCGTTACGTAGGCTTTTTATCAGCCTGCGCCTAAGCTGACTTCGCTCTTCGTCATGTTCAGAGTCAGGTGGGATGCGTTTTCGAGCATCCATCAGTTCGGTGGATGCGACTGAAATCCACTGCTTCATCCTAGCATTGTGGTTTACCTTGCTAGCAGATACCATTGCTGTTTCCACAGCCTTCTTGATATCATTCCAACCTGCTTCAGGATGGGAATCACTTGCATGGTCGCCTAACTGTTTTTCTAGTTCTTCCTGAAATATTTTCTTAGCTTGATTATCATCAAGTAAAGCCCTAAGAGGCTTCCTTACGGTGTCTTTCCTACGTCCAGCAAGCCTCAAACAAATACGTGCTCGCACTAGGGCATGATCTGAATCTAAACATGTGCCCCAGAACGAGCGACAGTCCTCTATCGAACCCCTCCATCGGTGGCTGATGGAGATATGATCTAGTTGAGTCCAACATTGAGACGACTTCGGGGGTTGCCAGGTCAAAAGATGTTTTTCCTTATGCTTAAAATTAGTGTTTGCTAGAAATAGTTGGTTATCTGAGCACAGTTGCAACAGACGGTCGCCATTGTCTGTTCTTTGAGCCGCGAGACCGTAACATCCACCTAGGTGTCTTTCATTTTCACTCAGTCTACCTACTTGTGCATTGAAGTCACCAGCCATTATAACTATATCAGAGCGCTTAACTTTTTGGAGGAGGTCCGAAAGCTTTCTGTAAAACTCATCTTTTACATCATCTGGGCTGCAGTCAGTGGGGGCGTAGGCTGATATGACGAAGAGGCAACGGCGAGTGTCCCTATGCTTAGGATAGGATAATTTCTCAACACTTTCTGCACATCACAGTGATTGGACTAACCCGTTAAGGATACATCGTTATGTCGTGGTGAATGTGCACTAACGTCATTGATTTAACATGCAACAGACTACATACTGAAAATAATCTGTCGTGTAACACGGTTATTCATGGTTATTGATGTTTTAACAATCTAAAAACCAACATGACAACAATATGTTTCTGGTAGGAACCACTAATAAGAATGTTGAAATCTTATAGTCATCTAGGGCCACGACTATATATACACGAATTACTATCCGAAGAAAAACCCTTGACCTTGGACAGAGCAGTGATTATATAATTGTGAAGAGTAAGATTTTCCTGTAATCGTTATAATTTGGGAAAATCTTTTATTTTGAGGCAGACATAGACAGATACAACGCAGAACTTCGTACGTAAGTACATCAGAGTACAGGTTGTCATACCACATCAGCACAGAGACGAAACTGTCGGTTCAAATCCATGAGTGATAGCGATAGTAGAATTATTAGCAGCAATGGAGAAGATTAGGGAGCGAAGATATGATTCGATTTTGACCGATTTGGTCTCGCATGCTGTTACGGGTATGAGGGCGGTTGTCACTTCCCGGCTGCGCACACCGAGGCATTCACATGTCAATCGGGGAAAACAAAAAAAAACATGCAAACAACTTACTAAATGCATCGTTTAACGATCGAGCAATTGGAAATTTCAAAGGATCCGGTGTATGAATAAACGGCCATGACATTTTATGTTGCTATAAGGAAAACAAAATATATCCAATAATAAAATATAGATAAATAAAAACGTGATTAAATTTTAAAATTAGTTAGCTACAACGTAAAACTTTGTACGTACATAAGTACATCAGTTCAAGGTTGCCATAACCCAATATTAGCACAGAGACAGATGGAATTGTCAATTCAAATCTCATACTGGGTCTAAGCAGTATTTGGAAAGATCAGGAAGCGAAAATATTATTCAAAAAGTATAATTTAGTTAACTAAATTTAAAAAGAGAACGATAGAGATGATGAAGAATCCATAGGAAAACGATCTTGAGCCATGTCATTGTCCTTTGCTTTGCAAATGGATATCTCACATACGCCATAAATGAAACGCCAAAATCTACAGAAGACAATCCATATAATAAAATGATACATGATACTTGTTACGCATGAATGTCAACATGTCGATTTGATATGCTTGATTTGTTATTACGAGTTTAGCTTAGTCCGTGAACGAGAGCGAGGATCCAGGATTCGGTGACACGACATGCTACTCTAATCCGATTGTCCCAAACCCTCATTGAGTAAAAGAAAAAGACTTGACATAAAGTAGGAAATGTATTCTACAAGCATCCAGAAAGTACGAGGTCCGAGTCCAGAAAAGAATCAGGATCCCGGACTAGGGATCCGGGTCCGGGTCATAAAACATTACATATAATGCTTATTTATACAGTTAGGTCGAACAGTCAGTCACTCAGATGCAACGTAGAACCTCGTACGTAAGTACACCAGCTCATGTCGCCATACCACATCAGCACAGAGATGTAATTGTCAATTCAAATCCAATAGTAGTAGAGGTAGTAAGGAAATTAGAAGTAATCGGAGAGGTTATGTGATTAGAAGATATTATTCAAGAAGTATGATTCAGTGAGAAAAGTTTAGAAAGTCAAAAGTAGAGGTGTTGTAGAATCCAGAAGATTAGGATTTGAGAGAACACAAAGAATAAATGCACGGGCGCCATTGTGAACGATTCTGAGCCATATCGTCCAAGGTCTCTAACCATCGGTGACTATCGTCCCGCGGACCCCGACCAGGTACTTCACATCTACTAATATGGCTCATTCCAGCTGTCACTGACTTCATATACTTCTGCACTATTTTGGTCTGGCCATCCCTAGCTTTCTTCCAACCTATTCCTACACCACAAAACATAGCTCGTCGAGGCAGTCGGTGGTTAGGCATACGTAACACATGTCCCAACCACCTCAACTGATGAAGTTTCACCACTTCATCGATTGATCTGCCATCCTTACCTAGTACTCGTTTCCTAACAACAGCATTGCTTACTCGGTTGTCCCACGGTATACGAGCAATGATTCGAAGACACCTATGGTCGAACAGGAAACAAGATTGAAGTCTATGTCATTGACAGTTAAAACTATCAATAGGAATTAACCAATAGAACCAGACTTACAAACATAATTCTCTTAGAATATTGAATGATTATCTTAACAACTCTCTTTACAATAAAAAAAATCAAAACCATACACGGTGTGTGTGTGTGCGTGTGCATGTATGAAAACTTACTTTGATTTCTTCAATTAAACTAATTAACTTTTCAATTCTATCTGATGTGAGATCAGTTTCATAAATAGTTTTTGCAATGATCGGTTGTTGATCAATCGAGGTGTTATTATTATTATTGTTTAATCCTTTGGACTTTTTCGATTTACCAGATGACTTTGTTGTAGTCGTAGCAGTTGTGGTTTTGGTTGTAGTAGGTTGTGATAATTGACAGCATGTTGGACAAAGATATGTGTCTGTATGATTAACAGCTTGTTCAGGTGTTAAACCAACACATTCTGGATGATACCATTCATCGCAACGATCACAGGCAATGTATACTCTGGAGATTTGGGGGAAAAAAGAAAACGGGCAGTTGAGTAAAATATAAGAATAATCAATGTTAGGGTTAGGATGAAGTTGAGTGTCGGGGATGTTAGATCCTCAGAACTCACTTGATAAAGGTCATAACTACTGGCATGGGCTGATCAGTTGACCTTGAGATTAGATTTCCCACTCGAAAAATCCTTGACCGTCGTTGCTTGATATGTTATTTTAGTACGCTATTTTTGTGGCTCTCCCAAGGACGTTTCTATGATGTTATATGAATAAACTCGATTTGTGTGCTTGTGAACCTTATATTTTCTGGGTGCTTGTAGAATACACTTTCTAGGTCATGTCAAGACTTCTAGCTTTATTTAGTGAGACCTTGGGACGCTGGAATTAGAGTAGCCTATCATATCACTGCATCATTTGTCTTCACTCTCGTTTATCGACTAAGGTGAACCCGTAATATAGTTTTAAGCATACCAATTGACGAGCATATCACTTAGTGACTAGCGCATTTGACTTTCAATCACAAAGTTTCCAGTTTCGATCACGTTACATTTACTTCAGTTTGAGTAACTAGATAGTAACTCTTACATTTTGAGTATGATTCGAAGCTAAGTACACAAATCTGTATTAGATAAATAAGTTGACAATAATTACATGTTACGTTTAGTCGTTATCAGCCCTTGAAAAGCTTATTGATAATGTCTCATAATGTGAAACTGTTGTATGTGGTGTGGGTTTGAATTTCGCAAGAGTGCGGCTGGGGGTATCATTTCCTTTAAGATTTCAAGTACACTTAGCCAACAAGAGTTTCCTTTCGAATAACTCACTAACAGAAAAAAACACTATGAAAATGTACTGGTTTCAACAATGTAAAAATGACTGAAATAAGTTCATTACTCAGATATTTTATTTGATTTAAGCCCATAAACATTTGTAAAAAAGCTGCATCTAAGTATCTTGGCGGCACATCAATCAATGAATTTGTGAATGGGTAGGTATACTGCAAGGACGCCCAAAAAGGAATTGATGGTCTTCTTTGGAGGCCAATCACCGAGCTTTTTACTTAGAGGTGGTCTAATACACAAGACAGTACAGCAGTGTTAGGAGTTTCAGTCTAATGTTAGCCCATGACTAACGGTAAGTTCATATGCCATTTATCCCATCAAAATTCTGCAGCCCATGTACACCATTGGTTTGAAATCAGGGTCTTGGATACTCAGCAACCTGGTTAGAGCACTGGACACTCGCTTTTTGTCCTCTCGATTTCATGAACAACAGCTCGGTTACGAGAAGGCAGTGGGGTAGGACTTCTGTGATAGTGGCTATACACACGTGGCCAGATAAGAGCATTTGGAGAAGGGAAGTGAACTCTCCCACGGGAATCGAACCAAAGACCTTCGGTAATACATCCAGGTTTCTAATGGAGGTCTAACATTGATCGATTCATGATTTCAATGAAACTCAAGAATCGCCACAACCCAATAGTGAAGTTTATCATGTGTTTATTAGTGACTAGCTCCGTGAGGAGGTTTCTCCGAGTTCTATTGAGAAATCGTGACCAATGGAGTGGTCATAGAAGACAGCGAATTAAGCTACACAAAACCATGGATTGATTAAAGTTAGACATTAACACCGTTGGATGTCGACCAACACAGTGGTGCAGAGGTTAAATAAACTTTGGCACATAAGACCAAAGGTCCTGGGTTCGAACCCTGTGAGTAGCAAGAGTCGTGGATGCGTACTGTTGATGAGTCTCATACTAGGACGAGTCCACCTTCAAGTGTTCCCAAGATTCTAATCGTGATCTAACATTGATCGATTCATGATTTCAATCAATACAAATCAAGGAAAATAATTAGACATTATTCTTAAACTATAAAAATCCATTATCACATCAAAGTTACATTTGAGATTGACATTGAAAAAAGCAAACAAAAATGTATATTCACCTTGTTGGTTCATATGGTGTACGACATAGACAATAGAGCATTTCATTAGCTTTCAATTCAGCTTGTTTACAATCAGGACAATGCCATGAATCACCTAATTTACTAGAATCTTTTGGATCCAAACCGACACATTCAAAATGAAACCAATCTCGACAAAGATCACATCCAATGTATTCTCTATTGATAGAGAGTGAGAGAGCGAGAGAGAAAATTATGATTACGCATAAAAGTGATTATGAATTGTAACAATAAGTTCAATTAAGAAAACTACAAATAATTAAACAGTGATTCAATTCCTCCTTATGTGAACCCTTGACTGTAGCTGCCACCTTGACAAACTGACGGGGCTTGCCTATTGTGACCACCCAACCAAGCTATATTGGCTGGAGCATAAATTTCTTCAGGGCCTACTATGCCAAGCAGATAGATTGGAGAACGGTTAGACTAAAAACAGTAACTTAAGGTCGTACTAAAGATTGTACTGGAGCGTGACATCAGTAGGGTGTTTCCTACGGACAATTAGCATCTGCAGCGATGCTGCCTTCTCACAACCGAAGGAAGGGGTTAAGAAAGGTTGACCCTAAGAATATCACACCTTGCCTTATCATCCTATGGGTTTCCGTCTCTGGTAGTCAGGCTACTTGAAGAGCGGAGCTAACATTTCAAAGACATCCCATGAAAATGCCACGTGTAACCGGCCTCAAACAGTTATCCTTCGGGCTCTGAGGTCACGCTTCCAGGTTACTACGACCAACGCTAGCACCCAACTTCTTCCTCAGGTTCCTCAAGAGTGACCTTCTTGTGACCTCTTCGAATACTGCATTTGAAATCGCAACACTTTCCATTTCACTAGTTATGTTTCTCTTCTATACTACTATTTTTGTAATGTATTGATAATCGTTATCGTTTTAATGTTGATAAATTTATTTAAACCAGATAGTTTGATTGCAAAACTTTACGAGTTATTCTGAACGACAAAATCATCATCAACGCTTACTTCATGTAGAGGTAGGTGGTGAGTGTTTCAGTCAGTACATGAATCTTAAATTAGTTTACCTTAGTGAACTTAAAATTTTAAATGCTTATCTCATTAGGTTTCGTTCTCTTCTAGTTGTCTCTGTTTAAGTTGTTTTATTCATTATTGAGCAGGTTAATCGGAAAGAGTCAAGTAATAAATAGCTTTGCTAAAGTTAAATGAAACAAAACAGTCGACTTGAACACGTCTAAAGACAAGGCAACTAACTTAAGGAAATAACCAATCAAAATCAAGACCACCAGAGTAAACTGTATTAATAATCGTGCACTGACTAAAAAGCTCACTCTTGCATGAAGTAAGCACTGCTGATGCTGTCGTTCAGAATAACAATGAGATTTTGGCAATCAAGTTCAAATAAATGAACAACATTTAACCTCAACCAACTGAGTTGCAAGCCAGTTTTACTGTATGGAGTGGAGATTCGGAGAACTACTAAAAAAAAACCATCATTCAAAAGACACAGGTGTCTTCTACTAACAGTTGTCTCTAAACAAGGCACTTCTCATCCGTTGACCAGACACCATCAGCAACAACCTAGTATGGAGGAGGACAAACCAGATTCTTCCAGCTCAGCAAGTTATTAGGAAACAGGCTTAGAGGTGTATAGGATATACATTGCAGAGATCATCCAACTTGTGTCACAAGGCAAGCCCTAACTTGAAACGCTCAAGGCGTAAGAACACATTAGATAGTCAAGGATAGAGTTGGCTGAAGACTATCTATGTTCTACGAAGGGTAACAAGCGTAACAGTCACCTCAGTTGCAAATCTCCATCACATGGTCTGGTAACTTGCGACAATATATATTTAGATCGAGTTCCAAGACTGCTTCTAACTGGCTGATTGTTGAATTCAGTAGTATATACATGGATAACCTAAACATCATGTATACATTCAACTTTCTATTCAATCCATCAAAATGTCATATTTGCATCAATCTACCCTATATATATATATATATATATATATATATATATATGATATGGAAATCTTAGCATATAGCATTCATGCCATTCAAATAACCCAAAATATTCTTACCTTGATGGATTGTACGGAGTTTTACAAACACAATACACAGCCGACATAGTAGATACATTCTGTAAAACATTAGCAGTTGATTTAGTTAATGTTTCATTTCCATCAGCAGTAAATTTATCTGACAACTTGGCACATCCTGTTGCTCCACCACCTCCTCCTTTATTACTACGTCCAGTCCCACTGGCAGTAGAATTACGTGCTCGATTGAGACCACTACCACCTCCACCTGCTCCTCGATCACTTACAGAAGAAGATGGTGATTTGATCGATTCGGTAACATTGTGTTCACTTGTATCGGAATTTGTTGATCCATCATCATATTTTGATCGTTTTGATTTTGTGGCAAACGAAGATCGATTGGTCTTATTAGATGAAGCCTAGAGTTAGAAAGAAAAAATATATATATA